CCCATAAGTTTTTTTGTTTTAGTAAAAGTTTTACGGCACTTGCAACACAATAAAGTCATATAAGTGCCGAAGAATAGATGTGTTGCAAGAGAGAAACATACACCAAAAAAAAGAGGAGGGATCAAGACAATAAATGTTTGATAGGAAAGAAGGAGCAAACCACACCAGAGCACTCGCCAACCACCCACCCAATAAGTTTAGAAAGCATCCTACAATACTGTCACTGCCTCACACAACTTTAATCTCAAAAGAGCAGGAAGCTCACAACATACTTAAATTCAACATTTCCAGTACAGCAACAGTCACCCTCTACTGTCATCATTAACGTATGCTCACACAGGGGGTGGTTGGCGGGTGCTCTGCTCCTTCTTTCCTATCAAACATTTATTGTCCTAATCACCCCCTTCTTTTTTTTTTGTTTGTTACTCTCTTGTAACAACTCTAATCTTCGGCACTTATATGACCTTAATTCTGTTGCAAGTGCAGTAAAACACTTACTAAAACAATACTCACACAACTTCAAGCTACAAACCACATTGTCATGCTAACCTCAACAGGGTGCATCCATTCACAGAAAAAAAAACCACCAGCGCAGTCCTACTGACTGAAGTTGTCTTTAGGCCATTCCCAAAGGGGTGGTATTAACATGTTCTTATGCACAGTAAAATTGAAAATGGGCTGATTTATCAATGTCATGCTCATTATGTGCCAGAACAACATAGGGAGAACTGGTGTTTTTTCTGTCCTCATCGTTACTATCGTCATTTTCCTTCTACTTCTTTTGTATCTTTGTCACTCTCTTGGGAACTGATATTTCCAGGGTGCCTTGATAGTTGAAGCAAACCTTGTTCTGTTGAGGCTGGAGAGGTGAGCAGAGTAAGCCTGATTCCCCGTTTGGACTTCTCTGTTGACATCCACCCATTGGCGCTCGTACGACCATGTGTAGTTGCGAGCGCCGTAAAACCTTACTAAAACAAACATTCACAGAAATCTGTGCTTTACTCAGCATCAAATTCTCTCAACAACATGCAATTGAACCTGCCTCGACAGCTACCTGTCCAAGACAACCACCTGTACAAACAACCCAACCACTTCCCATTTCTTGAGCCTACCCCCCCCCTCCCCAGTTTTTTTGTTTCAGTAAAACTTTTACGGCATTTGCAACACAATAAGGTCATTTAAGAGCCAAATAATTGATGTGTTTCAAGAGAGTAACATACGCAATAAAAAGAAGGAGAGATAAGGACAATAGAATTTTGACAGGAAAGAAAGAGAAAACCACACCAGAGTACCCGCCAACAACCCACCCAATAAGTTCAGAAAGCATCCTACAATACAGCTTCTGCCTCACGGAACTTTAATCTAAAAAAGCAGGAAGCTTCACCTCCCCCTCCTTCCCCCTCTTCATTTTTTTTCTACATATATTTATTACAATGATACAATCCAAGACATCCACTTGTCCAAGACAACAACATTTCTACTCGCCATTTCTCCACCATCCAGAACAATTTCAACTGCAGTTTGTTTTAATTTTTTGGGTTCTTACTCGATAAATTCACTTGTCCAAAAACTAATTTAAAAAGGTATTTATTTCTGTAAGTTACAGTCACAACACCATTGTCTCTTTCATTCAGAATTTTCACTACATACTCACAATTTCATAGCACCATAAACATGACATTTTTCAGTTTAAAAAAACAACAACAAACAACCCTATCATTCCCTGTACTACCGTAAGCTAACAAACTTTTTTTTTCATTTTAACGCAAAAAAATTGTATTTGCTAAATCGAAAGCCTGATCAGTTTTTACTCTACTTGAGAGAAAAAATCAAATTGAAGAAACAGTGACTAGTTTTTCAATAAATTAGAATTCAATTTCGGAATCACTCTATTTTTAAATGATTACGTTGACCAAAAAAACACCCTCTTTTTGCTCTGAAGAAAAAAAAGGGGTTTTGTCAGCTTACGGCAGTGCACTCCTCCCACACAGTGAGAGCGGCCAGCGTCAGTCGTACAGTCAAGTTCTTGTGCACATTGAGAACAGCCAGCGTCAGTCATTCATGTTCTCGAATAAATGCTGAACCACACAGTGAGACCAGAAAATGTCAGTCATACATTTTCTCGTACACAGTGAGACCAGAAAGTGTCAGTCATACATTTTCTCGAACACAGTGAGAGCGGCCAGCGTCAGTCATACATGTTCTCGTACAACTGCTGACCCATGCGGATGTACTCCTCCTTCTCCAGTGGTGTCATGGAGGCCACCAGGTCAGAGGTCACGCTGTGGTAAGGCACGCGCTGAGAGCCAATCATCACCATGGGACCCTGGTCCTCATCCTCGTCACTCTCCATCTCTTCCACGTCTGGGGGGGAGGATCAAAACAGAATATATTATTGTACAGAGCGAATGTGACAAAAGAAAATGACAATGAAGACAGAAAAAATATTCAAGATGCTATAAAAACAAAATCAAATCAAATAAATGAAAGTACCAAAAAAAAAAAGAATGGAAAAACAAAATCTAATAATACAAATAAATGAAAAAAAAATGTAAAAACACTGAGAAAAGAAAAAGATGATGGAAGCAGACAAATGTCAAAAACTTGCGACGTGTTTTTTTTCCCCACAGAAAATAAAAATTTCAGAAGAAAGGAAGAAAGAAGAAAACCTCATGACACTGAGAAATGCATAATACTTCTACAAACTCAAGACTTTTGAAAAACATTCGCAGAATAACAAGAAGCATTCTATTACAATCTGTATTCTATCCTGACTGTTGGCTGCTTTGTTTGTTTGTTTTTGTAAGTGTTTTACGGCGCTCGCAACTGCATAAGGTCATATGAGCGCGCGGGACACACTAAACTTTTTCAGTTGGTAGGAAATTTTGAATTTTGCCCGGGTGGCGGTCGAAGCCTACTCTTATCGATTTTAGACCACCAAGGGATCTTTAACGTGCGTAACTTGCACACGGGCCCTCCGAGATTTTTCGCCCTTGTCCAAGAAGGCTAGGTGTAGATCTTTCCTACCAGAAGATCAGGGGTGTGGCTGAAAGACAGCAGTAAGAAGAAGCCAAGGAGTAGCAGTAGAAAGGCTGCAGAAAGAATCAGGAGCCCAGAGGAAGGGGCAAAGGAGGTGAGGGGGTGGGGGCAGAAAGAGGAGACGAAAGCAGACGACAGAACATTGCTAGAGAGCAGGAAATGAGGTGAAAGGAGACAAATTTAGAGAAGAAAATTTTTCGGTCGCTACCCGGATTCGAACCCGGGACCTTTGAATGAGAGGCCAACACCTTAACCTCTAGGCCATGAAAGCCCCCCTTGGCTGCTTTACATTCATTTAAACATAATATAAATAATAATAATAATAATAATAATAGTAAAAATGATAATGATAATGATGTGCATCGTTATAATGCCTACTCCTGTATATACACAGCTCTAGGTGCTTTATATCAATCAAAGTAAAAAACAATAACTGAAAAAAAGCACATACACACTCACACAACATTCTCAAACACACACACACACCACACACAAACGTACATATACACACACATCCACACACACCCAAACCTACCCACACACACATACACACACACCCTCCCTCTCTCTCATCACACATATACATCATTATGATGAGCCATACAAAAACATATATTATATATACGATGTATACAAAATATGATTTGTAGGTTGACAGAAATACATAGAACAGACACAAAGTAGCTTAACAAAAATACATAGTCATTTACATAATATGTGAGGCATCGTGGTGAAATCAGGCGCTCATCAAAATAATGAAATCAAAGAAACCGGCATTTTTTGGCCAGTTGGGCAATCTTTATTGAATTGTTTTTTGACTCAACACCTTTTGTGTCTAATTTAAAAACACACATATCGGTGTGGATTTTACAGATATGGCGTGATTAAAGGCACAAAAAATGTAAATTTTCGGTTTCCCAGGACTCACAAGCTTTGGAAGTCACCAAACTTTGGCGGCCATTTTCTCACCAATTTTACCTCTGAAACCAGGCGACACCCATCTCTCTCAATCGCAAATATCTCGACCTCTATTCAAGATAGATTGGCGGGGGGGGGGGGGGGGGGGGGGGGCAAAAGCAGGACAAATGAAGAACTTTTAGGATGATACCAATAACATAATAGGCCCAAAAATTGACGATGCGACACACACATTGTACGGTAAATGAAAATGTCTGGCATTATCATCGTGCTAGCCCACACTAGACTTCAGCTCAATACCATGAATGTAGAGCAAATAAACAGAATGGAGCTTTTAATTAACCAACAAGGTCAAATTTAGGCGAAATGAAAGATAAAAAAATAGTTGATTGATACCTTCTCCGTTCTTCATCTCATCGACATCGGAGTCTCCATCACTAGACTCTGGCGCTGGTATTCGAGATGGTCCTGCCTTTTGCTCGTGGGCCAGAAGAGTCTGCAGAATGTCGTCATTGCCCATCGGTTTTGATTTCTTGTCTGCCTCGGCGAGTTTAGACGCCTGCAAAAAAAAAAGGTTTTTAAAAAATACCAGATAAAAAAGTTTTTCATTTTCTTTTTCCACATTACTATTGTCATGATCCTTAATACTCTTGAGATAATGTCCCATCACAGAGATTTAGATCCAGAGATTTAAAAAAACACTGACTGTCAGAAAAGGTGAACAGCAGATGCAAAAAATTCGGAGGCGCATTTTTTTAGACAAGACAAGACAGACAGACAGACAGAGAGACAGACAGACAGACAGACAGACAGACAGAAAAGACAGACAGAGAGACCGACAGACAGACAGACAGACTGACAGACAGACAGACAGACAGACAGGGAAGACGGAGAAAGAGAAGAAGAAAAAAAAATGGGGGGAGGGGTTCTTGTAAAGTAAATGTACCTGCGCACAGTACATTATTTTGAGAAGATAGAGGAAAAGTGTGATAATGGGTGGCTGGCGGGTGCTCTGAGTGATTTACTCCTTCTTACTTATCAAACATCTATCATCCTTATCTCTCCACCGTTTCTCTGTATGTAACTCTCTGGTAAGACCTCTAATCATCGGCACTTATTTGACCTCTATTAGTGTAGAAAGTATCGTAGAACTCTTACTGAAACGCAAGCATGATGCTATTTAGAAGGAGAGAGAGAGAGACGAGCGTAAAAAAAAAAAAGAAACTCATCCTCACCTCCATAGCAGCAGTCTCTAGAGGTGCAGCAACTCCCTCAATTGTGCTCTGTGTCATCCAGACGGGCTGAGCTTTCTTTTCCACCTTGCCCGCATTCTCGTCGTCCATTGTGATGGTCACTCGGTTCTCGCTGAAACCGAAACCAACGTTCCTCGTGGCATCGCCACTCCAAGTGGCTCGATCCGCGTCGGAAGACATTTTGCCGGACACACCCGCATTGTTCCGACTGCAGGGAAAGCAGAAAACGACAATTGTTTAAAACACTTTGAAAGGGATTTTTTTAGATTACGTTGTGCAGTATCAGAGACAATGAATATTATCTGTAAGTTTTACACCACACGCTCATTCATATTCTTCCGCACTGAAAGTTATATCTAAGCACTGAGAACCACACACCAGCATCAACAGCTACAATTCATTCAAAAATTGAGTTTTACCTCAGTATTGGTCAATGATGTGAATGTGTGTGTATCTGATGAGAGAGAAGGTGTGCGCGTGCATGTGTGTGTGAGTGTGTATTTCTGTGGGTGTGTCTATATATGTGAGAGTGTGTCGACAAATGCAGGTGTGCGAGTAAGTATTTACCATGCTGTATAAAATTTATTTGGGGGGAAATCAGTAAATTGTATCTTATATTGTCATGTCTTGTCTTATCTCATTCACAACAGAAACTAAATATTTCTCTGGGCCCCGACTTACTTGATAATTTTCTTTATATCTGTAGGTTCTGGGTCTAAAACTTCTGGGGCCAATCGTACATCTTCACAAACTTTCAACAGTTCGTAGATAGGCTGTATCTGCTCATTAAACCTGGCCAACATTGTACGGGCATCTTGCTTGGGTATAGAACTTTCATCTTCTTCAACCTAAAATAAGATGAATAGGAAGATACTATTGCAGGAGACCATATTCAAATTTGTACAAAGTGATAGGCCTACACCCATTTACAAAGCCCAACAGAAGCATTTTTACTGTACTCTCTTTATGAATAAAACAAATGGGTAAATGCCTTTTGCAGAGAAATCATTCGAACAATAATGTATTGTAAATTAAAATAGAGAAAATAAGCAGAAAAGAACAGAATCTCGACCAGTTACATTGCAGCTGAACTGGAATTTACCACACAAAAATTGTACTAAAATACTAAATGTGAAGACTCCGCCAAAGAAAGATGCAGTTTCCTCTGTTACAAGTTACAAAGAAGCCAAAATTTACAAGACATCAATAAAATTATCTAAATTCCAGGCAAAAACGACAGTCAGAGAAAAACACTTACAATGGAACGACAGAAGGTACAGATGAGCTCTCCAGTGCTGGGATCCAGCAACTGTCCCACTTCGTAGTCGGTGTATGTCTTCTCACAACCGGGGCATTTGAACGAAGACCTAGTCGTGTTGTCTCTCTCATCCGTCTCAATCTTCCGTCTCATGTGGTCCAGTTTATATTTAACAACATTGACAAAAACACTGCGAGAGAAAAAAAGCTGTACTTGTAAATATTTTAGCTAAGAAGTTTAGCAAAAAATTTACGGCACCTGCAACACAATAAGGACATATATATATAAGTGCCGATGGTTAGAGGTGTTACAAGAATGTAGCAAACATAAAAAAGGAGGAGAGAGAAGGACAATAATTTTTTATAGGAAAGAAGGAGCAAACCACACATTTATACAATCATACAATTTAGATAAATAGGAGGCTGGCTGCTTGCACCCTAGCTGTCTGTCATGGCTAACTTCGGTTGAGAGAGACACCTAGGTCCCAGCAGACGGACATAAATACTCTAAGGAGAAGAAAGATGTAAGTTTTAGAATGTTGTCTCTCTCATCCGTCTCAGTCTTCCATCTCAAGTGGTCTATAATAATAAATAGCATTTGTAAAGCGCATATCCCCACTCGACAGCAAGCTCTGTGCGCAGAACACTATATTATAACTCCCGGAAGACCATTGAACATTCAGAAACATTCTCAGCTTCCCGAGAAGAATACAGCTGATTAAGAGCTCAAACACTAACAAGCTGACAAGATCTTTCACAGTCTATAGCTGGGTACCGATTCCCACCTGGGTGAAGTGAGGAAAATTCCTGTAAAGTACCGAGGTTAACCATGGCAGCCAAGGTGGAAGTATCCAGCCTCCTATTGATCTAAATTGTATAAATCATTATTGCGGTTTAACAGTTTTCCGATAAGATACTGTGTCATAAGTTCTAAGATGATTTTCTAGTTAAGGTTTCGATCTTGATCATTGAAATGTACCATCCATGAACCCGGAAATTTTAATGAAAACACTCAAAATCATTCTGACAGATCCACAATCCCCAAATTTGACTAGCAGTCCAGGGAGATCTTCAATATACCTGCTCCACAATTCTACAAGGACGAAAAACTTTAAAGAAAGGGAAAGTGCATCAGGAAACGTGTACATGTAAGAAGGCATAAAAATCAATCACGTCAAGTCAACCTGTGCCAAATGTTTGGAATTCTAAAAAAAAGCACTAAATGCTCTCAACGAACTCATGTTTGCAGATGACCTGGCAATGATTAACAACAAGACTCAGCTACAGGAGCATATAAACCAACTAAATGCGAGCTGCGAAAATATGACATGAAGATCAGTATAAGCAAGACCGAAGTCATGACAATTAGCAGGAGACCAGGTAAAGTGGATATCAACATCAATGGATCCCAACTAAAACAAAGCAGAGAATTCAAATACTTGGGCAGCATTTTCACATAAAATGGAAAATTAGATCGAGAGATAGAGACTAGATGCCAGAGAGCCAACGCAGTCAGCTACCAACTGGGCCCTCTCCTGAAACATCCCAATATCCCCATGAGCACCAAGGCGAAGCTCATCAACGCCATTTTCCTTCCAACGCTCACATATCAGTGCCAGACATGGACTCTAACAAAAGCCCTAGAGAGGAAACTGGTCACATGCGAGATGAAATGCTTAAGAAGAGCGGTCAACAAAACAAGAAGAGACAAAATTAAAAATGAAGTCATAAGGGACACCGTGGGAGCAACACCAGTCCTACCACACATTGAAAAACAAAAGGTCAAGTGGTTCGGACACCTCACGCGGATGCCCTCAAACCATCCAGCTCTGAGAGCATACAACATTAAATATTCTGGATGGAGAGCCAGAGGAAGACCAAGGCGACGATGGAGTGAATCTGTGGCAGACACCCTTAAAGATCATGGGATGTCCCTCCTACAGGCCACACGACTTGCTGCAGACAGACACCCGTGTCTCCCCGCGACACCCCAGGGTACAAGCGGAAGAAAAAAGTAAAGTAAAGTAAGTAAGCCCTAAATCATCAGCACGCCAATGAAAAGAGAAAGCGCACAACCCACAACCCTTGATACAAAACATGAAAAAATCGGGAGAAAAATGTGCAGGTAAACACACTGACCTGCTAACCAACCCATGACCAAAAATAGAGGCTGTTCTCAGAATCCTCCAAAAAAAAAGAACAAGTTTTCCTCTAAATCTTCCCTTGGAAAAGGAGGAGTTTCAGAAAAGGAAAGAAAATAGGAGTCTCCAAAACCCCAGTAGAAAAAGGATTACATGACAAACTGACCACGACAAATAAAGAGAGAGAAATTGCAAAAGATCATTTTTACAGAAAGCGGGTAGCACTTACCTGTAATTGATAAAATAGTAAGTATGTCGAGTAGTGCGTCCTTCCGCATCTGTCTCTACTCGCATTCTACTCTTCAGAAATTTATCAATTTTCAGCATATTGAGAATAGACCTGTAAAAACCAAACCAAACAAAAAAACTCAACTAAAATTAAGCCAGTGGAGGTATTAGAATAATTCATTATTTCACAAAAAATGGGTTGTAAGGACCAACAATTTTTTCTCAAACACTGGTATTCTCTTTTTTTTTCATACCCCTGCTATAGCTCAAGGAGAAACTAACTCATTTTCATTTTTCTAAAACGTCTTCCACTTCCAATTTAATCTTAATCTACAAAAACAAAGTATAAGAAAGTTATTTTGAATAATTAAAATTATTAATGCTTCCCAGGGTGTATCAGAACTTTAAAAAATTTCAGTTAGACACCCCAGTGAAGTTCAACACCATTTTGGGAGTTCCCAAAGAGATCCAGTATCTTATCGATAAAAGAGGGGTTTTTTTTACTTATACGCTTTCAAATTTTGGTGAATTTCATAAATTCATAAACATCTTGCTTATTTATGCAAATCAGATGTTCACAGAAAAATCTTCTCTTCCGGTCATAACTCTTGATTGCATGGTGTTGCTAAATTGCTTGACTCCTAGGTGCGTATAAATGTGCTCTCAGCTCTCCTGTACACACACCGAAATTATAGGCCCGTATCAGAGCCCACTCTGTTTTTGAATCGTTAAAAAAAAATTTCATCTGACAATTTATAGCAACAAAGATTTCTATTCAAGGAACAGACTGCTGTTAAGAGGGGTTATTTATATACATAGGAAAGTTCCATTACACAAGTTTTTACTATTAGTAGACGGAGGTTGCCATTATCTGGATTGACAATAAGTGAAAACCGTTGTATTTCGATTTATTATAAGCAACAAAATATATTATACATATATATATACCTGAGATGCTTCTTGTCGTACTTAATGAGTTCGCCGAGGTCATCTTCCTTGACACAAGGATGACGTACTAGCATGTCAATGACCACTGCGTGCTCCATGGTGTAGAAACCTCTCACTATCAGCCTCACCAGTCTCTTCAAGTCCTCAGGAACAACAGTCAAAAGCACTTCTGAATCCATGTCCACTGCACTAGTTCTCACACAGTGTCCGTGACTCAAGAGTTCAAACAATGGTTGAGCATTTCAGCCAACTCGAATTTTTGTAACTTGAAAATATCTATGGCAAATATAAAAAAGTAGGAAAATCATCATACATAGGCCTACATCAACTAAGTTTTATATCACAAATTTCTATTCCATCTGGAACACTGATCTGATATCCATAACAAACATTTATTGGGAGGATCTGGGCATTTTAAGAATAATTTGACTGGCAACTGGCATTAAAGAAGCGGTACAACGACTTATATTAATCTTCTTAAATTCATTATTTCCGTGCATTTCCCTCAACATGTTGAATGCAAAAGTAAAAACAAAGAACGTTAACGACCACAAAACAGGAATTCTTCGACACCAGATTTCTTCCAGTGTTTCTCACTGCTAGATTGGGTTGGAAACCATTTTGACTACCATGTTTCAGTTATAATACTGCTTTGATGATAAAAATTTGGAAGAGTAAAGCAAGCCTGGGCAAACTATGACCCAAGGGCTAGATCCAGCCCCTCGAGCAACTTCAGTCTGGCCTGCAAATCGACCCAAATATAATGAATGTGGCCTGCGGGGGCTTGATAATTATTAATTAATAAAAACAAAACTGCCCATCTAGATAATTATTAAAATCAATAGTTTCAGCCCAGCTGGAAACAATGAATCTAATTAAAATAAACATTATAAAATTATCATGGAATTCCCTTGAATGACAATGCTATATTATGATTTAGTATCAGTTTTAGTCTCACTGTGGAGAGCTACCTTGGGCATTTTAACCAATTTCCCCCAATTTTCTCCTGCTTTGGCCCGCAAGATATAGTGGGCAGTATAGCATAAAAATCTATAGACGTAGGTAACTTTTGGCGGCCTTTGAGATACTTCTGTTTGCAATACTGCCTGCGATATCCAGAATCGCTTAAAAGTTAATCACTTAATCAGGCCTATGGCTTGAACACCCTAGCACCAGCCTTTATGCACCACCTGTACTCTGTGTGTTGGAAAATTTTCTTTTTAAATAATGCAATAACAGGAAAATATAACTCTTACCTTCTCATTCTTCTTGTTTTTGCCAAGTGCTTTGTTTTGAATTCGTTGAACAAGTCACAACACAATTCATACTGATGTCCACACAAATTAAACATCCATCTATACTTTCCCACGTCACACACACACTCCACACACACACACACACATACACAATTTATTAAGCCATAATTCTGTTTGTTTTTTAAAGTAAAAAGTCTCAGGAAAAGACACGGAGGTACAACTACATGACATGTACAATAACGAGCCGACAGGGGAGATGGAAAGCTGTGGAGAAGCGAAATGTGCAACTATAAGTGACACTGGAGAATAGCCATCAATCTATTGACAGGCACGACGCAGGAGAATAGCCACTTGCTACGTTTTAAGTTGTGAGTGAATGCAGCAACTCATCATACTTGTGTTCTGACACAATATGAGAGACGGAGACAACTGTGATTATGTTTCAACATCAATTTCACTAAGAAATGACACACTTTAACTCTCCTCACTCAGTGACAAATGAGCTTGGGAGAGATAGCCTCTGGGTCTTCTCAATTTAGTAAACTCTACACAGTGCTGACCAGTTACACTGGGTTTTAACCCTGGAAGCGCGGAGGCCCTATATATAGGGCTGACCTACTTGGACTGGGAAGCGCCCCTATATAAAGTGCATAGACGCTGACCTGTGTCAATGGAAAATTTCAGTATTCCTTATTGAAGTGACTATTCGGACTCAAGTACAAATAGAGAAAAATTATATTCGGACTCTGAATTGAGTCCAGCCTGACGTCCATTCCAACTTCCGACCCTTGTTCCTAAATATTTCCAACATTTACTAACTTTTTTTCGATTATATTCGATCATAATGATAACAGTCGAGACGTGAGCTTTACTATCCAGTTACTAGATCTATCTAAACTGGCCCTCCCTGCATCATTAGTATAAACAGAACGACTTAAGTTGAGCTGACCTTGCCGGGGGCAAAGTTAATTATGTCGACCAATGAGACTGCACGTAGCGATCTCGCACTTTCGGCTTGCAGGGGGAAGAGGTGTTGGGAAGAGGCCATGGCTGTCAGTTTTGTGCGATGTGATAAAAAAATAATAGGAAAACTATAACACACAACAAAATAAAATTAAACATGTGGAAAGACAAATAGGGATGGAAGTAATGATGATGCTATAGTGGTGGTGGAAAGACCCTGAGTTGTCAGTTACCGTGTACTTAGACACTGCCATTGGGTAGATCTAATGAGAGTGCAAGCCTTTTGACTCTTGACACAATTACACAGTCCTAGTAGGCAATTCTAGTTGTAATTCTGATTTTACGTAAAATCCCCCGACGACATTTATATAATGTAACCTCCTTACACTCACATAACTCACTTAGAAGCTGAGTCTGAATAAATAAAACCTTTTTTTCGGACACGAGTCCGAATAGATAAAACCCATATTCGGCTCGAGTCCGAATAGAGCGGGCCATTCCTTATATATGGAAAATGACGTAGTAAATTACAGGTCAAAGTTATAAATAGTGACCAATGACTTTGCAAGTTATCTTGACCTCGTAGAGCTTCTCTTGACCAAAATATCGATGGATAAAGTGATGCGGTCCAACTGAGCGACTACACGTTAGATCTATGTGTTATTGTCAAGCGCCATTTGCCGATCAGCACGATCTTAAGACGGCGCAGAAACATATGACGATCCGCAGAAAGCACGGCCATCTACGGATTATTTCCGAAAATGAATAGAGCAGCGCGATCTTAAGATTGTGTAAAGAAAGCAAGAATTGCGTCATCTGCCGATCGCTTGGAAACACACACAAACACATACAACATATTATTATATAGCAATGACCACGAAAAACCTTTTTTTTTATCAGAAAGTGTTTGCAAATAGGTGCATTTTGTAGCTCTATCTCCACAGAGCATGGAACTTTTTGAATCTTTGAAATCCATCAATAAACAAAAAAAGTTACGAATTTTTTAATCAATTAATTTTTGGTACACTTATATAATGAAAAAAAACCAAAATATGGGACGTTCTTTGGTGAGTTTTGAGACAATATTCTTCATAAACTCACTCATTTCTCGGAGTATTTAAATGAAACTTGGCAACTTAGTACATTTTCTAGTGCAGAATCTAGTCCTGCTTTCAGATTTGTCATAGCTATCCTACTTTTTTGAGTTATGAAGACGTTTATAGGTAAAAATGTGGCGGTTTTCGGTGCGTTTTGAGACAATATTTGTCATAGCTCGTCTATTTCTTGGAGTATGTTAATGAAGTTTGGCAGTCTAGTACAGTTTTTAATGCATAATCTAGTCATGCTGTCAGATTTTTAATATCCATCATACTTTTTGAGTTGTAAAGACATTAACAGGTAAAAAAGTGGCGTTCTTCACAGATTTACAAAGATTATCAGTCATATCTTCTCCCAAAGTCATGATATTAGAATGAAATTTGGCAACATAAAAGGTTCCTCCTTGCCAAGCAATGCTTTGGATCAATTTGACACAAAAATGTAAGTAGAGAGCTGGATTTATTAGTCTAATAAATCCAGTTCTCTACTAGTAAAAGCAAGCATACTTTATTATAGAAAATAAGATTGTCTCTGTGTATCCATTGTTGGACAGTGTCCTATTGTGTGGTAGATTAAGATGCGTTTAGATAGTATAGTTTACAAGTCACGGGAATATTTTGCATGTGTAGGCTACAACCCATACTATAAATGTAACATATTAACACACCCTCCCCCCTCTTCTCTTCTCTCTCTCTCTCTCTCTCTCTCTCTCTCTCTCTCTCTCTCTCTCTCTCTCACGAACACACACACACATGCACGCGCACGCTCTCACGCACGCACGCGTGAACGATAACAATGTATAAACGGGACTATCTTCCCAGACTGACTAAATAAGTACCATGCTCTTTAATACAATCTTAATACCTCACTTTTCCAAACAGAGCACACAGGACAAGTCCAATTGTGTGCTTTCCCAAGAGGGGGGAATAGGCTTTCATAACGCAAACACGATGCCATACCACATCTCAAGATGTTTGCTTTTCCGTTTCTATTCTTCTTTCATGCAATCAAGCAAATAAAAATGACTACATCTATTGTATTGTGACTAAAATGCAACAAAAATGCAAGTTATCAAGGCCCCCGTTTAGTTTTCAAGTATCCTTCGCCCCCCCCCCCCTTTCCGGTTCACATAAGCGGGGCCTCGTTTGTTGCGCCCGAGGCGGCCAATGGCTGATGACGTCACTCAGTGGAAATTTCCCAGCCACCAGTCCTTCACCCAGCACGCGTAAATGGCAATGCCGCTTTTCACTTAGTTACTCCCACATTTTTAAAGATTACGCCAAAACCGCTAAACACAGAAGCTTGAAATTTTAAGGGAATAAAGACAAATGGTGTATAACGTATCAGTCAGTTTGACAAATCACAGCTCCGAAAAATCTTCAAAGCGCACCACATCAACCACTTTCTCAAACGTTTTCGACTGCTTCTAGGATGGGTACAATGTTGTCAAACTGCATACTACGAGATTGACCTCTTTTCTGATTGGCTGCCAAGTTTCATTCATATCCATTCACGAGAAGCAGCGTGAGAGCGAGTTGAAGACAACAACCTTTGCGTTAGTGCGTCCCACGAAACACCCCCGCAGTGGGGGCCAAAAATCGGAAGAACAAAATGCGCTCGGGGGGCATTGCTTTATATATACACACATAGAGACAAGAGTGGCAAAGAAAGAGAGAGAGAGAGAGGGGGAGAGAGAGGGAGAGGATGAGAGGGGGGGGAGAGAGAGAGAGAGAGAGGGAGAGAGAGGTTTTTGTATATATACCCAAGATAGATAAAATTCACTTCACACCACACATGCACATGCTAAAACAACATACAAACACACACACACACACACACAAACAAACGAACGATTTTGCAATTCTACAGAGTTTTGTTTGTGAACTTTGCAAAATCGTTTGTTTGTGTGTGATGGCGCGTCGCGCCCATCTCGAGATGGCCGGGTTTTCTGCAGATCGTCATATGGTTTGGCGCCATCTTAAGATCGCGCTGATCGGCAAATGGCGCTTGGGCTTGACATTATCACTTGTTCCACTGTGCTAATGTACTAATTGTCAAGTTTATCGCATTTTGCGCTTTGTTTGTATTATTTGAATTTGAACGCTTATCATTTTTGAATGGCTCATTTCATTGGAAGTGGCTATTCTCATCCGGGGTGAGAATAGAAAAACGATCTACCTCTCACCCCGGGTGAGACTTGCCAGCGTAGGCTATTCTCACCCGGTGCGAAACAAGACCTGCTTTTCCTCATTTTGGAATACTGTCTATCGGTGTGGATGATCAAATTGATAAAAGCCAAGAAAAAATTACGTTATAGCACAAAAGTAAGCTAATTTGATCGTCTTCAAAGATGCTATGGCTATTTCACTTTTCGAATCGAGCCGAACTACGCGGGTCGCCATTTTGTTTTGCCCGGAAGTTCTCGCAAGATCTACTCCTCCCCCCTCTCTCTCTCTCTGTCTCTTTCTCTCTCTCCACTGCCCACGGACAAAATTGTACGCTTTTAGTAGGCTACAGTTGTAATGGAACGTTTGTTCACGGCACAGAATTCTACAATTTTTCTATTATCACAGTGTAGAATTCTGTGGTTTAGGGTGAACGCAAAATTTGTTGGCCTAGATCTAGATATCTAGGCTATAACGGTGAACGCGCACCGGGTGAGAATAGCCAAAAAGACTAGCCTGCACTATTCTCATCCCGGGTGAGAATAGAGGTGGCCCATTTCATTCTACCACCAGCTTTGAGAAAAGATATGGTTTTCTATGCCTTTTAATACTTTTATTAGCATCTGTTGGGCCATAAATAGTCATTTTTCAGTAGCAGGTACACATCTCGGGTATCTCAGCTGATATCCCCCCGCCATACCCCCATGTTTACAACCGATCGGCCGTGGCGGCAGGGCCTTTTTGGCTGAGCGCTTCTAGGGTAAAAAAGATGTTACTGAATTTTATTCTCTCTAAATTTAATCGCCTAGGACACGTTTTACTGCCTTTTTTTATTTGGCGTGACTTATACTTAGATTTTCCTTATTAGAACTCTTCGGCTTCCTTCCACATCCAAGTGTAGGGCTGAAGGAGGCCTACTGTACCACTGTCCAGATCTACCCTGTACTCCCAATCCACCTCACTCGGACAAGCGACGGTTCAAATTCAAATTATTCACCACAGACAGCTATGGTAATCGCTCACAACTGAAGGGAAAAACGATTCAAGTTGCCTAAAATATAACCCAGTCTACATTACTCACACTTCCGTCTCCAAAAAGTAAAAAAAAAGTCTGTGAACATAATTATTGAAAGCCTCACAAACAAGCTTGTGTACCCGATACACATCCATCCATCATGGACTGCGCCATTTTACCGGAAGTGAACAGAGAAACGGGAAAACCCGTATCACCGGCCCGGTGTAACTTCAATTTTGCTTTGTAGTGAAATAATAAAAATCTTCATGTAAAAAAAAACAACATACGTACATGTCATTGCTTTGCCCTTTCAACAGAAGCAAAAGTCTGTAATATTAGACTTAGATCTACGTTCTAATCAAGGTAACCGCTTCATTTTGTAGAGGCAGCACGTTATCGAGAGTCGAGAGGAAATTGTCTCAACATCATGTTATGTCAGTCTCGTCTGAAAACGTTGGCGATTAACCAAGAACCTTACAACAAATACTTGTTTACTTATCTACTTGCGTGAAGGACCGACATCACTGAACAAGGGGCATTCCCATAAGCACTCCGTCCCCTGAAGAAGCACATCTCGAAGTGTGTAGATGCTGACGGTTCCAAGCAAAGGTTGATTCCATAGCCTTCTGCTCCTCCCACTAAGTCTTGAACTTCTGCAGGCGTCCCGTATTAATTACAACAAATAACCCCCTTGTAATTAACGTAGCAAGGATAATGATGTAACCAAACTGAATAAGGAAATTGTGTTGAGACTAAATATGTTATAATAACAATATAATAAAACTCTATGAGTGTAATTTCTTGATTTTAGAATGACATCTCAAAGTTTTCTTCAGAAAGGGAAAAAAAGTGCATGATTACAGTTGTTGAAATAGAGTGGCTAAAACAGCACCTGGACATGGATGGCTGGTGCCTCTATAAATAAATCATTGATGGTCAGGTCAGGTGAAATCGAGTATCCCTTCATGATGTATTTTTACCCCCCCCCCCCCCCCCCCTCCCAAGTCGAGATCAAGTTATCTGGCATGCACATACGGACCACCATTATCATAAACTGTCAGATCAGAAAAAGAAATTGGTGATCAAAGTTCGCCGTTCATTCTTTGCTCGGACGCTTGTTTGTTTGTTGTTATTGCTTGTGTTGCTGCGCGTTTTTTATTGGGGGGGGGGGTTGTTTGTTGTTTTTGTTGTTTTTTAAATAGGTTGTCCAAGTTTTTCCCCCTCACCCATCTGTTCAAGTTCTATTGTTTGCTTCCTGGTATTTGCCAGTGAGAGCAAAAATTTCAAGGTCTTAGTGTCGATTGAAGTGTCATAGCTTTTATTACTTTCCTAATTATTTTTATTTGTGAGCCACCCACTCGCTCTATTCTTTCATAACTACCCCTTTTAATCTCTTTTCCTACCATGAAAATCCCAACCTGTGAAATTGCATTAATTGCATTTCTGTTGCATCCAGTCATTTTCGCCATCAAAATTAGACTCCTGAAACTGTCTCAATCTATTGTAATCCTTCGGTTTATTCCTGCAGAACATGATACCGGAGTATCGGATAATGTTGGACACCGAGTAGGCCAATTTCAACTAGAATGTGTGTGGACTTGGGCTCTCTTTGATAGAAAGGTTAGGTGTAGGCCTGAAGTTAGCCTAGGCTATCACTATCGTCGTCAGTGGCGTCTTCTACCTGGTTTTTCTTCACCAAAAAGTAACTTCTCTGACTAAAATCAAATCAAAACATTTCATAAATTTTTCAAAAGGGACAAAACACGATAACGTGTTCCGATAAAAAGCGAAACTCCACAAACGCCCAAAGGAAACTTCCGAGACAATGAATAACTCGAAAAGTGATCTGATTGGTCTGGGTGTCCAGTACTGTTTTACTACGACTATAACTCCGTCCAATCAAGCGCTGTGTCTGTCGGGGAGAATGAAATTTCATTGGCTTTACCCGCTCCGGCGCTTAAGTTCTCACAGACTGAATATCAGGGTGTTGACCTTGCATGGCTCAGAGCCTAGACAACAACCGCTGATGGTTCTTTCAGGCTTGGGGGCTGAAGCCGCACTGTGTCACGTGATTAAACATTGCGTGCTTGCACCCAAATTTGCATAGCGGCTCCAGGCCAAAGCGGAGACTGAGTTCCAACTCTCTGTTTTGGCATACACCTGAAACAGAGATTTGGAAGTCAGTCTCTGCTTTGGCCTGAAGCCGCGAGGATATGCAAATTTGCGCTCGTCAAAATACAGAAATCGGAGAAGCAGGCATTTTTCGGCCAGCTTGGACATTTTTATCGAATTTTTATTTTTTAGCTCAACTTCTTTTATGTCCATATGTATAAAACTTTGACTAAAGGCACAAAATATGTCTTTTTTTCTGAGTTCAAGAACTCTTTCTTGGAGTTACCAAACTTTGGCGGCCATTTTCTCACTAATTTCACCACTGAAGCCAGGCCACCTCACTCCCTTCAATCGCAAATATCTCGAGTTCTATTCAAGGTAGATAGATATTTATTTCATTGGAAGCAAGGCAAATAAATCAGCTTTTAGATTAAACCAATAACTCTATATGCCCCAAAACTGACGAGCCCCTGATTCTGCCACGTCGATTGGGGCGTAAAACATTTGTAATTAATCAGCCTGTCAGGTTAATGAGACTGGCTGGCGGGTGCTCTGTCGCAGTTTTGCTCCTCTATCCTATCAAACGTAGATCATCATTATCTGATTCTCTCCTCATTCTTTTCTTTGTATCCGTAGACACATTTTATTGTTATAGTGCTGTCACAAATTCGTAGCGCGACTTATCCTTAAATATCTCTTTCACGGTTGAGTCAATGTCGCCAATACTTTTCACAGTACATGTAGTTTGTATCAATTTATCTAAACTTAATCATATTTTTCCACATCAGTTTATTGAGGCTAGAATTTTAAAAGTACTATAAATTTTCGTTACGCGGAAAATGGAATCGCTCCCAACGCTCACAACGCTCAATTCTCGCTTCTCACACACATTTTGCATACGCGCACATGGCTTACGTCGCAACTCGCCAAAAGACTCTCTTTAGTAGCAAAACTTGTGGCTAGAAATGAATTTAAAGTGAACACATTTTCGTGCTAAAGGTTCTCAAAATATGCGTTTTGTGCATAGTGTCTCGGTTTGGGAAAAAAAAATGACGGACGTGCTTTTAAAAGCGACAGGTCCTTAAATCGTCCCATATGTATACCTTTTAAAATCCTCAGAAACCATCCACTAGGATTTTTAACTAGTAACCTTGGGGGAACTTATTATAGTGTACCGGTATTTCTTTCTATTGGGAATTTTCTAGAAAACAACTAACACGCAGGTGTTTACAAAAAAAAAATATTGATCTGTTAAGACAAATTTACACAAGTCATTGTGCAAAAGCTGGAGACTTTATCCTCGATAGCTGAAGAAATTATATTTGGTCACTTTTAAGGACAAGCGAGTTAACCCAGATTTCGGGGGAGGGGGGGGGGTCCAGAAATCTTGACCTACATCAAAAGTGGGCATTGCCCTACCTATAGGATATTTAGTTTCATTGGTGTGTAGCCCATATTTTATCGCTTGGTTGTAGAGAAACTTCTCCTTGTCTTTTAAAGTAACTGAACAATAGGGTCCAAAAACTTTAACACCAGATTTTCTCAAAACAACATTTTTCGGGATAGCCCCCTTGTGCTTAAAAGCGACCATTTGACAATATAGTTCCGCCACGACCGTACTAGATCTAGTACAACAATTATAATAGCTGTGTCTGTGGAACAATAAATTAATAGATTCTTGTACCTGCCACTCGCCGCTCGCTCGCCCACGTGTGTGCGTGCGCGCGCGCGCGCGCGCGCGCGCGCGCGTGTGTGTGTGTGTGCGCGCGCGCGCGCGCATGTGTGTGTGCGTGCGTGCGTGCGTGCCTATGCGTGCACAATTTGGCATGCTATTTCAATACCTCTTTCTGCCAAAAGAAGCGACTTTTTCAAATGCTTGCTGACTGTTTTATGTAACCAACAAGGCTTTCCTCTGTCCATTCTCTTCTTGTCTATTGCTTCTCATAATACAAGAATATCTCAAAGTACAGATGCACTGAGGCCTGTGTATTGTAAAGAAGAGGTGGCCAATGAATCGTGAGATGGCGAACAGCTTCTGTTTGCTTAACACAAGTTGGCATAAAGAATGCTGGGGGTGACGTGGGTTAATTCGGCGAGATGTGCTGTTTATATAGCGGTGGAAAATATACGTGTGCGAATTGGTTGGCCCTGGATAAACTTTGCATGTAAAGGGTCATACGGGGTCAGGGGCGGTGGGGTGGAAGAGGAATTGCGACTGTGTTTGTTTGTGTGTGTGTATGTG